AATTGAGAGACTGCATATGGCCAATGAAAACAGCTATGCAAAACACTACTGCAGTAGAAAGGTCTAAGATCGCATCTTCTAAATAATTTTACTTAGAATTTAACAGCACCTTTGGAGTATTACATTCTAAATCCTTATTAAACTAGTATGATAATATCATTGTAATCAAAAGAACAAGAATTTTTAAACATCTTCTGGGGCTTCTCAGATGTAGCTGATAGCACATTTCTTTCAACCATTTTCAGTACACAACAGTCTCTCCCATGTAGCATACTAGAAATTTCCAGTTTAAGTCTTTGCCTTTAGCTGTACATGTGGTTTCTTCACAAGGTCAGGCAAAATAGTTATTTTGTTCAGAATCAGGCTATAGCACCCTATGAATGCATGCAGAGTATATGAAACCCATTATACCTCCACTGCCACAATATTTTTAAGGCCATAAAGAAACAGCTGCCCTTTCTGGTAGCATCCAGCTAAGTTACATGTATGCAGGTTAAAAATTCAAAGTTAGAGCTACACTACATAACTAGCAGAGTGTTTAATTCAAGATGGACCCCAGTCTAACTGGGCTTAGGAACATTAACTTCCTCAAAAGAAAATTCAGACTCCAGTTCTGGAAACCATTTGAACTGATCTTCTCAGTAGAACTGCCACGTGTCTGTCTAACACAGGGCTTTAAACCAACCCTGTCTTAATCACTAGCTATGCACCGATGCAGCATGAAACAACTGATATGATCAGCTCCCTGTACGTGTTAACTAGCATTTCCATCAGCATAGTTATCAGTAGAGCTACACCAGTCTAGTTCCATTGTAGAGCAAAATGTATAGGTGAACTGAAAGTTTTCAGCAATATAACTCCCTTGTCAAAAAGAAAGAAATAAGAGAACCAAAGTCATTTAGTTGCATTTCTACTCATTTTAATAACTCTGGAACCTGAAAAGTTCATGGCAGTCTGAGCACTTTATAAAGGCAAATGCTGGAACTTAATCCACTGCATAGGTTATTGTAAAAACCTCTTTTATTTGCTTTCCGTCTTTAAACTTGAGGGCAAATTGTGATATTAAAGTTTTAGCTTCTATTTATTACTTTCATCTGGAAAAATTAATAGCGATTTCAGTCCAATCCAAATTAGCTACTTTAAACATGCTCACGGTTGATATGTACATTACTTTTTAAAAATTTTTAATGGAAAAGCCATTTAAAAAATATTCATTTAAAAACTGTAACTAAGACAGCCATAAGAACAGTTCTAACGTCTTGAAGTCCACTCCCTTTTAAGGGAGGGAAGGGGGGATGCATCAGAGTGATGTCTACACTGGCACTGTCCACATAATATAACTAGGAAGAGAAAGGCATCTATCCAACAATATATAGAAGGGGACATCACAAATGCCAATATAGTATTCCATTACAATTTTTCCATATACTGCACAATTTGCTGAAAGCCATCATTCTTTTCTTTACCTGGAACCAGTGATCATCCAGAGGTTAAAGCAATTAAGTACATACAAAAGTTTTAAAATATACACAACTAAAAATGCTCCCAAGAAGTTGGTCATAGCATCAGTCTTCCATTTCAAATTCTTGTTTCAGGCTGTAAGACATAAGGATGACCCAGTTTTAGTAAACTGATCTGCTTTGCTTTAACAAGATTTGGTTCCCATCTAATTTAAATACATTAAATGGAACCTGGGGACTGTGCATTAACAGAAGCTCAGAGCAAGGTAAGTAAGTACTTATACTACTTTTCATGTTAGCAAGAACAAACAAACTCTATTTCAAAGATGACAAGATTGAGAACTAAGAGATTTACTCAGTACTTCAGAATAAATCAGTGGAAACATCAGGATTTCACCATTTCTTTTTTTGGTCTTTTACTGAATCCACAAAACTGGACCATGCCACTTATAAAAAATAGCTATTACCTTTTTAAGTAGGCATGAACGTTGTCGTAGCCGTGGTACTTGGCCAGGTAAACTAGCACGCCTGTAGCACAATGACCTTCCCGTTGTCTACAGAAGCTACAATTGCAGATTCCACGACAAGGTGGGCAGTGCCAGTTCTAAAGAAAAATAAAGAGTTTTTAAAGAAACAAATCCCAGAAATTCAGATATTCTTCTCACTGAAAGTGATCACTACTCACTTCCCTTCTTTGGCCATTGACCCAAATAGTTTTGCATTAATATTTAATGCAGTAGAGAGGTATCTACAATTCTTACTGGATCTACAAGAAGCACCCCAATTTCTTATCCTTCCCTTCCAGGACTAATCATCTCTCTAAGCAGCATTCTTTTCCCTACAGCACCAGCACTGAAATCAACCAAAATGAAGGCACTTTGTTTTGCAGTTTCAATAACTTGAATATAAATCCAAAGGGCTTTGGATGATCACTCAGCTTCTATAACTGATCATTTCTTTAGTTGTAGTTACAATGGTAACTAAGTTCTGCAATACCCATTATGACAAACTATATGACTGAGCCCTATAGTATGTGCTGCAGTATTACAGGACATTAAATTTAGCTTCTCTACTGGAATACCTAACTATACAGCAGTGATGCACTTCTGCAAATAGGCTTCCTGCTAAAATTAAGTACAATAAAGTGAAGTTAAAATTAACTTACAGGGTCCAGCAATGCAGTCCTGACATCTTCACCATATCTATTGCGAAGGCAAGGCCCACAGAACTGACCACGCACCCCTGTACAGTCTGGGTTACGACAGTTTGTCTTAGTGTCTATGGTTTTTTGCCGACATTGATGACAGGTGGAGCCCTACAAACACAAATAGGAGACTTGAATAGTAAACAAGGCAGCACATTTAATTGCAATTAACCTTTTGACCACTTGGCTTTTGCGGTTAGTCATTTTACCAAGTAATTGTGTGTATGCTAGTGAATCTAAGAAGCAAAGTTTAACTGGGATAGCTGCCAATACCAATTTTAACATTACACATTAAGTTTATTATATTATTTGAAAGTCACTGGTTCCAATCTTCAGCACCTGTGATGAGTGCAAGTATTTGAACAGTTTTCACGAGAAGACTGATAAAGAACTTTGTTAGAGACCATCAAGCAAAAGAAAGGCACAAGAATAACTACAATCCCCAGTTCATATTCTTGTACTATGGGAGTAGCTCCATCTATCCTCAAAAGCAGTGTTGTTTTGAGACAAGCCATTCTTAACACACAGAAATCTGGAATTGCTTAATGCAATCCAAGAGGGTCTAAAAACCATTATTTTACTGCACATAGTCCATATTTTACTGAATCGCTATATGCCTACCAATGCCTGGTTATACACTTTCTCTCGAGCAGACTGACATATGCTATTCAACTCCTCCTCTGTTATTTCTTCCACTGGACGTATAATATGTGGAAGAGCCATGGTACCACGACGACCTCTCCTGGGACTTCTCATTTCCTGTTGGATGGAAAGGAATAAAAAAAAATTCAAGCAATTTTTTTAAAACTTTGTTGTTGGTAAAATTACTGTAAATCCCCACCCAAGAGGTAGAGATTTTTGGAGCAGTCGAAGGAGTTTAGGATCAGTGGAAGTTGTGGGCTCAGTGAGATAATGCTTTTGAAAAAAAATCTCAACTGCAGTCTCCAGCTTTAGTGTCTGAACTGCAACAAACTAAGACTGTTGATAGATGCTGCATGTGCAGCACTACAAATGCCTGGAGGCACAGCACAATGACGGCTGCTGTCCCCTGCAGCGCTCAACTCACAATGACAGCCCACCATGAGGTGGGGGTGGGCGAAACAGAGCTCTGAAACCCCCTATGCCTCCTTGGTGGTAAAGCATGCTGCTGAACATCTTTCTGGCAACACTGCAGCACTCCACCCAGGGAAACAGGGAGGGAGGCTCTGCACATCTGTCCTCCCCTCTTAGAGCTACATATTTGTAGCACTTCAAATGTGCTGCAGCACATCTAGCATTACACATACACCTCTGTCCATGGCCTAAGAGTCTATTTTTGGGGGCTCCCGTTGCAGTGGAAAAAAAAAAGCCAATACCTCCAAAAGCAAGGGGAGAAAAAAATGCTGTATAACCACAACCTCTGAATTTTTGTCCTTTATTAAGCTGTCTGTAGGCTGAATACCAACTCATTTTGCATGAGCTCCTGTTTTTCTGAATGAACCAAAAGCACTTAATCTGCATTTATTTGAGAAACAAAATCATATCTTAAAAAGTTTTTTCCAACTAATATTGTACTGAAAGAGATTAACCACCCCTGCCTCACAGATTACACCTACCTCCAAGAATTCATCAGATAGCCTTCTCCTTCTCACTAACATGTACTTATCATCTTCCTCCTCCTCTGGTAATGGAGAAGGAGGACCTTCAATCAAGGACCTAGATCTTGTGTAAGGCCGAGAACTTCGGTCTGGGTTCCTTCTTAACATGCTTCTGGGAAATGGGTTTTTTGGAGTCCGCTTTGGTCGCTGAAAGAAAAAAAATTAAAGGTAAACAAAACCCTGTAATCAAGAAACCAAACAAAAGCAGAAACTTAGTTTACTGAAGGGGAAAACAAGCACGACTACTTTATTTGGAGTTAATTTGCTTTTATCATTTGACAGAGTCTAGAAAACAGATCCTTTTTGCAATTCTGCCTATGAGATATGAATAACAATAATTCACTTGGTAAACAAAGTGTCTATGAGAAACTGTTCATATTTACGTGCTTCATGGAATAAGCACAGATTTCACTGCTGCCCCCATTTTCAACATGAAGTCACATACCCTGATCCTCAAATAAGGAAGTAGTACTTTTCAACACATTTTATTCAGAAAGACAGTAAGTATCCTCATTTCACAGTTGTGAAACTAAGACATACCAAGTATAAAGTACTTTCTCAAGGTCATACAAATCACTGAGCCAGGAGCAGAATCCAGAAGTCATGATTCCTAATCCTTTAACTTAAGCCCTGGGCTATGCTAGTTCATTAAGGAAACTGCTATTGCAGTCCTGATACACAAGGGGAGATGGACCCAAAATAGAATCCTGATTTCAAAATGCTTAATAACACTAAGATCTAGCCTATGAAGTTGACCCCACACTCGTTATCTCCATATTTGTATAAACGTACTTACGCTGCATTGTATTTTACTGGCTTTTTATTTGCTTTTGCTTACTGGCACTTTCAGGTAATGATTTAACACATTCAGTTTTATAGAACGGCACATCAAAAGGGAATGGCAGAAATAAGGGTGTTTGTTTTAACAGGTAATAACATTCTGGACTTTGATTTACATGGTCTATTATGGTTTTTACTTGAAAAGGTCTTTTGTTTTCTTTCAAATGTTAGAATTAGACTTGTTCAGCTGTCTACAGTGTAAGCCAAATACATGAATTTGTACTTACCGAACTGATTGTTGACAACATTTTTCCTCCAGTGAAGATACCAGAGACATTTTGTAACTCAGCCATTAGTTTTGCAAGCTAAAAGGCAGGTACGAAGACAAGGGAAGAGAAGTAAGATACAGGAGTTTGTGCGCTATTACAGACTATTAGATTACAGCAACTGTCTGGAAACACAACTGTCCTATAGATAATGCAAACACATTCTTTTCATTTTAAATGTCTTATTTCATGTCCAAGTGACTTAAACTAGTCTGAAAATTATTAGGATTGCAGCCTAGTAATCCTAAAACACAGAATAAGGCTTCAGAATACACAGACATTTGATGAAGAATCTGTTTCAGTGCATGGATTTTCACACACCAGTAAGAGTATTAGTGCTCGAAATTCCTGTTAATGTATTCCCATACAAATTCTCAATACATTTAATCTGTAAAGAAAGAAGAACTGCTTGGAAACTAAATATCAAAAAGAAATGGAAAAAAAGGAGAAAGATGTACCAAAGAACTTTTCTAGATACTTACCATTGCTTTGTTTTCCTTTATGTTTAAAGCTCTTTTCTCTAAAAATGTGGAGCCCTTTTCTTCAGAGTCAGAATCTAAGTCTAGAGAAGTTTGTGTTTCAGGAGCAGATTCAACCTCTTTCTTTCCCCTTTTAGACCTTCGAAGTGGAAACTTCATAGCTACTTTTAGAGGGCCTGGGGGTCTTCCTCGTCTCCTACGTGGCCGTTCATCTTCAGTGCTCAAATCATTTTCCTCCGACTCAGATTCCAGTTTCTATTAAAAACCAAAACTCTAGTTTATGAATCACAGTGTGCTGCTCTACAATTATTTACAGTTTGGCAGGCATGTTTGAAAGAGGAGGCCAATCTGCAATCCTGGGATGGGGGAGGTCGTTTATTTGTTTGTTTGTTTTAGAGTTTCAGGTCCTGCTGCCTGGGAATCTGCCTAACAGCTTTTGTG